CCCCCCCCCAGCCCTTTAATCCTAGCTGCTCTAATTCTGAACAGAGCTGTTTGGCTCAAGTGCCTTCCAGAAGTCTCTTCCGGACACGGTTATCCTTAATCCATTTTGCATTGGGTACATTCGCTGCACCACCTCCCCATGGCTAGCCTGGGCAGAAGCAGGCTCTCTGCTCTCTATCCTTTCAAAACCACAGCTTTGTCCAAGCTCCAAACTTGGTGAAACCAGACAGCAACGGCTCTGTAATCCTGCTCCTTTTACCACCAGGCAGGGCTAAGCAATTCAGCTCAGTTGTCCTGTCTTAACACTCTCCACGCCTGCACAAACAGGATGTGTTTTGCTGTTGCTTCTTCTCCAGTCCAGGGCAATTTGCTGCTCACGCAGAGTGTGCAACTCTGTGCCCTTATAGCCAACCTATACCAGCACCAGGGACTTTTTTATTATTACTATTTATTTTTTAAAGAATCCTGAAGATAGGCTCAGGGGCTTTCCATTAATACTTCTAGCTTCTTAAGTCAAGTACCTGCAATTTATAAATCTGTATCTGCATCAGTTTTCCTAGCTTTATTTGTTTTTGCAGAGCTATGAGTTTATGCTTTTACCTTCTCTTTTAAGCCACAGCAGTTCTCAGTTTAGAAACCTTCTTTCACAATGCTGAACCTGAACTTCTTCCTTAAGGACTCCCAGTGTTTTTTTTTTTTCTAAATCCTCATGCCCCAAATTCCAGCAGAACTGGCCCTGATCCCACTGGGCCCAGCCTTCCCTCCCACGTCCCATCTGTCCCAGCAGGGCCTCACTGCACCATGCCTCTGCCTGCCTGGCTCCCCATGCCCCAGCATCACAGAATCACAGAATGGTTTAGGTTGGAAGGGACCTCTGGAGATCACCTAGTCCAACCCCCCTGCTCAAGCAGGGTCCTCTAGAGCATATTGCCCAGGATCACATCCAGACGGGTTTTGAATATCTCCAGCGAAGGAGACTCCACAACCTCTCTGGGCAACCTGGTCCAGTGCTCAGTCACCCTCACAGTCAAGAAGTTTTTCCTCATGCTCAGATGGAACTTCCTGTGTTTCAGTTTGTGCCCATTGCCTCTTGTCCTGTTGCTGGGCACCACGGAGAAGAGATTGGCCTCATCCTCTTGACACCCCCCCTTCAGATACTTACGGCCATCATGAGGCCTTTCACCAAGATAGTCTCCTCAGTGCCTCTAGACCCTACAGCCCCACTCTTCTTGTGGCCAGGAGAGCTGGGCAGGCTGGGAGATGAATAGCACCCCACCCAGAGCACCAAAACAGAGCAAGCAGCCCAGCTGGCCTCCAGCCAGGGACAGGAAATGCTCCCTGGGCAGGGCTGGACCAGAGGAAACTTTCTGAGCTCCTCCTCAGAAACAGCAGCATCACAAGCAGGTTTCATTCCAGCATCATACCTCAAAAAAAAAAAAAAACCCACTAGTATTGTTTTTCCATCAGCTGATTTCTAGAGCTGTTCCTCCTGATCAACACCCCATTAGTACCCACTCAGAGGGCACTACAGCAGGTTTAGGGCCTTTTTCCTAGCAAGAGCTGTTGTTCTGCTCTCTGGGGCAGGGGATGGTCTAATCAGGAAGAGTCACCCTGCAGAACCTCCTACTCCAGTGGCAGGGGCAGGGCTGAGCAGTTTTAGCATCCCTGGCACATGATTCTTCCCTGCAAGGTTAGCGGTGCCACCTGCAGTGCATGTCTGAATACTCCTAGTTCCTGTTCGTCATCAGGCTATACCAGTGCACGTAGCCGAGTTGGAACCTGAGGCTTCAAGGTGCACAGACACCAGACTGGCAGGGCCAGACTCCAGGCAGAGGACAGCAAAAGCAGAGCCAGACTATGTGCAAGCAAGCAAGTGCATCCATGTGTCACAGCCCACCTGCTAATAAGGGAGCAAACACACACACGCTGAAGGGCGAATGCCAGCTCCCATCACACGTGGGCACATGCTGTACACAACTGCCCTTACCAACAGCCGGTGCATCATACTCATCTCCAAGCAGGATCTCAGGTGCCGAGTATGCCAGGGAGCCACAGCTAGTGGTGAGCATCTTGCCAGGCTGGAATCGGTTGCTGAAGCCAAAGTCTGTGAGTTTGACCACCCCCTGCTCCTGGAAGAAGACTACGTTCTCAGGCTTGAGGTCACGGTGCACCACATGCAGCTTGTGGCAGTATGAGATGGCATGGACGATCTGTGCAAAGTAGTGCTTGGCACGTCCCTCAGCCAGGCCGCCCTCGTGCCGCATGATGTGGTCAAACATGTCCCCGCCGTCACCCAGCTCCAGGATGAGGTAGAGTTTGGAGTGGGTGTCGATGACCTCGTAGAGGCGCACCACGTTGGGGTGCTGCACCAGCTTCATGCAGCGCACCTCCTGCAGAAGTTGCCCTGCTGCCTCGCCTGCCAGCTTGCTCTTGTCGATCACCTTCACAGCCACCCGCTGCCCCGTGAAGACGTGGCGGGCAAGCTTCACCACAGCAAAGTGGCCCTTGCCCAGCGTGCGCTCCAGGTCATACAGCCCTGCGATCTTGCCCTCACTGCAGCCCTGGGCCCCAGCCATCACGCCAGTGTCAGGCAGGGACGGGCACCGGGACACTGCAAGACAGGACAGAG